GATTAATGATAAAATTTTCATTTAGGGGTGGAGTAACCCTTTAATTGTATTAATTTATTATTACTTCCCCCACATATCTACCTCACTATGTGGAAATATTTGCATAATGCCGCCCAAATGTTCACCAAAAAGTGAGCGGAGTGTCTGGCGGAATCCAGTTTTTTGGCGGGTTAGCATCAACTGTGCTGAGACTGGAGAGGATGGATGCAGGTAGTATGGATGATGAAGATGATTCTTCAATAATTGATAGTGAGGGATGGTCTCAGGTACCAGATGCATCAAACAAACGAAAAAATAGAGAATCTATTTATCTCTAATAAATCTCTATTATCTAATAGATTCGGATGACAATATCACAGAGATAGGAGGAAATAACAAGACCAGGAAAATAGAGGTGGAATATAAAGTAATAGTAGCATTTTCCAGAAAAATTGAAAACATCAACAATCCAATGAAATTTACGAAAATAATAAAGAAAGTACTATATAATAAATAATAAATAATAAATTATTTATAATAAAGAAAGTACTAGGCAATGTTAACTCTGCAAGGTACTTATCAAACACAGATAAAGAATGAAATGGTGACAGAAGTGAAGCGTTTGCAGTCTAGTAAAAATAGTAGGAAAGAAGATAGTACTACTGTTGTATTAACATTCAATTGCAAAAACTTGCCGAAACGCATAAAAATTTGATATATGTGCTATACGGTTCGCCCGTATATAAGACCAGCACTGAGATGTTTTAACTGCCAAAGATTGGGACATGTTGCAGCAGTTTGTAAAGGGAGAAGAAGATGTTGCAAATGTGGCGGAGATCATGATTATGGGCAATGTGGTGAAGGGATTGAACCTAAATGTTGTAATTGTGGAGGTCCACATAGTGCGGCGTTTCTAGGTTGTAAAGCCCAAAAACTAGCTACAGAAGCAATGAAATACAAAACAGTACAAAATATTTCATGTGCTCAAGCAGTTAAGCAAGTACAAGCTGTTAATGGAAATCTGAAGGAAAACAACACAACCCAATTTAAAGATACATGCAGTCATAAATGTCTCTTGGGTGGAAACATGCTTGTGGTAAACAAAATTAATTTTGTGGCATTTATAGCAAAAGTCATTAATTGCTCAGCTCAAACAGCGAAAAGAACCGAAAAGCTGAAAATCATAATATCCGCAGCTGCTCGACATTTGAGTATTACGGAAATTTCAGTTGAACAGATTCAAACGTTACTTGGACAAACCGAGGAAACCACAGTGTTATGTGATCCTTCGGGAAGTCAAAGAAGTAAAACCATTAAATGAAAATACTACAATGGAATGCCCGAAGTTTGGTTGTGAATGGCCAAGAATTTAAAAGATTTATACATCAGTTAACAATTTTACCAGACTTTATTTGTATTCAGGAGACTTGGCTTCACCCACAATTAGATTTTGTCATTCCTCGTTACAAGTCGGTTAGAAAAGATAGAATTGGATCAAATGGTGGGGGATGTGGAACCTTTGTTAAAAATGGAGTGGCATTTAGAGAAATAATATTAGGTAATGTGTTGTGGTAGAGGTATGGTCACAGGAAGGTGGGATAAAGGTGGTCAACTTTTATAATCCTTGCAATCAGTTAACATTAGATGAATTGAATATAATAAGAAGGCTGGGGATAATTTAATATGGTGTGGGGATTTTAATGCACTTTGGGGAAGTTTATGCACAGATTGGAATGGAAGGGTTGTAGAAGAGTTTATGGAGGAACAAGCTTTAGTGTGTTTAAATGATGGGAAGGGAACTCGATTCAATATAAGGGATTCTTCAACTTCTTGTCTAGATCTAACAATAGTTCCGGGAACTATAGCATTGGAATGTAGATGGGAAGTCCTAGATCATTCAACATTAGGTAGTGATCATTTTCCAATAATATGTGCTTTTGGAATGGAAATTTATCAACAAAATAAAACAAAGCAAACCAGGTGGGAATTTGATAAAGCTGACTGGAAAAAATGTAACAAGTTATGCATTGATGGAATGGAGAATTATAGTACTGAAGATGATATAGACTTATGTTCTGGAAGATTAAATACAATTATTATTAATGCAGCTGAAGACTCCATTCCTAAATCTGAAAGTAAAAATAGGTTGAGGATTGTTCCTTGGTGGAATGAAGAGTGCACTAAAGCAGTCAAAGATAGAAATAGAGCATTCAGGGAGCTTAGGAAAACATTAATACCTACAAATGAACTAATTTATCACTTTATCGGAAATATGGGAGGTTAACGGATGGGACTTCAGTGTACACTGCCAAAATGGTGGCAATTCAAATGGCACTTAGTTGGGTAGAAGAAGTGATGCCAAATAAGGAAGTGATTTGTTCAGATTCAATGGCATCACTTACCAGTCTTCACACTTTTTAAACTGTTAGATATGATATCTTTATAGAAATAATGAATATATTGTATAGATTAAGACATGCTGGAATAATAGTTTTTTGTTTGGGTTCCAGCGCGTGTTGATATACCAGGAAATGAGAAAGCTGATAAAAGGGCTAAAGTCACTTAATCTGAATACTCTACTATTTCAGTTTCACTAAGCAGCACGGAGGGAAAGTATAATTAAAGAAGCTTGCAAGTGGAAATGGCAATACTGTAAAACAGAAGGACGTTTTTATAATATACAAAACAGCGTAAGTCAAAGCAAACCGATACTGAACTGCAGTGGAGAAGATCAGGCCACTTTAACTAGACTAATGATGGGTCACACAGCTGAATTCTACAGGTATATAACAGGAGCACACAGTAGTGGATGCTGTGAAACATGCCAAGTGAAGGACACAGCTGATCATGTGCTGCTACTCTGTCCCAGGTATGAACAGAATTACAGAACTCAGGATGCAATGAATGTTCAATCTGCAACATATTAAACACAATACAAGGATGTGGTAAAATAATAAAGACCATTTTAAAATCCATTAGGAATAGTGGACTTAAGAATAGAATATAGAAGTCATAATATATAGCTAGACTGAACTCACTTCACACTCCAGCACAGCAGGTGGCGGTATGCACCTCTGAAGTGGGTTTGCAAACCGCCATTAAACACAGAAGAAGAAGAGAAGAAGAAGAAGAAGAAGAAGAAGA